TTTTTTTTTTTTTTTTTTTTTTTTGAGACAGTCTCACCCTCAGTAGAATGCCGTGGCGTCCCAGCAACCTCAAACTCTTGGACTTAAGTGATTCTCTTGCCCCAGCCTCCCAAGTAGCTGTAGGCACCTGCCACAGCGCCCAACTATTTTTTAGTTGCAGTTGTCATTGTTGTTTAGCTGGCCTGGCCTGGGTTCGAACCCACCAGCCTCAGAGTATGTGGCTGACGCCGTAACCATGGTGTTATAGGCGCCAACCAATTTATTTCTTTTTAAGGGGATAAGTCATGGCCTCTTAGGGAATGTGTGGGAACAGTCATCTTTTCTCTTCGCAAGGCCAATTCTTTTCAGGGTGGTTTTGGGATCACGTCTGGCAGCTCACAACATCATTGGCTGTGTCCTTAGGTCCATTTGCTGACAGGTGCAGATCTGGTGGGCAGGAGCCCAGCGTCTTGGAGACACCTTCCCTGATTGCGTCTGGTACTCCCCTGCAGGCAGTCTCCCCTGCCTGGTTTGGGGTTTGCGTCTATTCACCCAGACACTGAGACGCCTGGCTGAGGACACTTCTCTCCTTCTGCTCTTTGAACAGAGTAGCCACCAACCAGAAGGTGCGGGAGCAAGTGCGGCTGGAGCTGAGCTTTGTCAACTCCGACCTGCAGATGCTCAAGGAGGAGCTGGAGGGGCTGAACATCTCGGTGGGCGTCTATCAGAGCACAGAGTAAGTGGGAGCCGAGCTTCCTCCAGATCACGCTGAGCCCGAGCACGCCGGCACCGGGATGGTGCAGAGAGCCCAGGTGTGAGTGACAGACGGAGGGCGTGGCAGCCCCCTCTTTGGGAAGTGAGAGAATGATCAGGTTTGGGGTTGAGCAGGTTTCTAGGTTTGAAGGGATGAGCTGGTAGGGTTTGTTTGGAAATACCTGGAGTGTTGGGCAAAAAGGCATTTCCACGACCTACTGGGACATGGCTTTGCCAGGAGAGCTGGGTGTCTGGGTCCAAGTGGGTAGATGGCATCTCTCATAAGAGGTGGCCTGGTGTCTCTGCCATAAAAACATCCTGGAACCTTCTGTGGATAGCTTTTTTTTTTTTTTTTGGCAGAGTCTCACTCTGTCACCTTGAGTAGAGTGCCGGGGCATCATAGCTCATAGCAACTACAATCTCTTGTGCCCAATAGATCCTCTTACCTCAGCTTCCCAAGTAGCTGGAACTATAGGCACCCACCATGATGCCTGGCTAATTTTTATATTTTATTTTTTTAAGATAGAGTGTCATTTTGTCACCCTCCTTAGAGTGCTGTGGCGTCATAGCTCATAGCAACCTCAAACTCTTGGGCTTAAGTGATTCTCTTGCCTCAGCCTCCCAAGTAGCTGGGACTACAGGTGCTTGCCACACACCTGACTGTTTTTTTTTTCATTGTAGTTGTCATTGTTGTTTGGCAGTCCATGGCCGGGCCCGAACCTGCCAGCCCTGGTGTGTGTGGCTGGCTCCCTAACTGCTGAACTACAGGTGCTGAACCTAGTTTTTCTGTTTTTAGTAGAGACGGGTCTTGCTTTTGCTTAGGCTGGGCTTGAACTCCTGAGCTCAAGTGTTCCACCCTGCTTGGCCTTTCAGAGTCCTAAGATTACAGATGTGAGACACTGAGCCTGGCCATTTCGTGGATATCTTTGAAAGCTTACCTGCCAGATGGGGCCTGAACATCCCTGCCTTCTTCCCGCCCAGGGTCTCACTAAGCACAAAGTCTGACTCTGGGTCATTCTGTAGATTAATGATTTTCTTTCTTTCTTTTTTATTTTTGAGACAGAATGTTACTATGTCACCCTTGGTAGAGTGTTGTGGCATCACAGCTCACAGCAACCTCAAACTCTTGGACTTAAGTGATTCTCTTGCCTCAGCCTCCCAAGTAACTGGGACTACAGGTGCCCACCACAATGCCCGGCCATTTTTTGGTTGCAGTTGTCATTGTGTTTAGCTGGGCCTGGGCTGGGTTTGAACCCACCAGCCCCGGTGTATGTGGCTGGCTCTGTAACCGCTGAGCTATGGGAGCGGAGCCTAGATCAGTGATTTTCAACTGGTGTGCTGTGAAGCAGGCAGGAAAGAAGTGATCTCATCATGCAGATGAGCAAACTGGCCTGAGGTCACTCAGAGGATTGTTACGTTAGTGCCACGCTGGGCCCCGGGTGCCCTGGTACAGGACATTCAGAGACACACACTTAGGTGTGATGCAAGCATTTTAAAAGATCATTAAATAAATTATTTTCCAAAGAAGTTCAAAGCACAGTCAGTAAATTATTTTCTTTTTCTTTTTTTTTGAGACAGAGCCTCA